CCAGAACGACGTGCCAGAACCAGAGCCCGGACTAGACCAGGCCTGTGTGGAGAAAGCTGCCGGTCTGTGGGCCGCTGCGAGGAACCAGCAGAACTCCTTCACCATAGACATGCACGGCCTGTTACCTTTTAGTGAGTACCGTCTCCTTCCCTGTAGACAATCTTGATTTTTCACCAAAGACTTCTCTCATTTTGCTATCCTTTAGCGAGTCCTTTCTCTTTCACCAAAGATATGCTGGGTCTATAAGTACTTTTTTTTTTTCACCTTAGACATGCTCACTCTAGTGAGTAATTTCTCATTTTTCTCCATAGAATATCAGATTCCTTACAATTTCAAAGTCCAATTGAAAGTATTTTGCAATTTTGAGTCATAGGAATTTCTGCTAGGGTGGGCAATTTGTTCTCACTGTGTTTATAATGAGCGCCATTTCTCTTACAGTTGAGACGAAAGCGTGTTTTGTCAGTGAAGTGGTGTCTGCAGATCATGAAATCACTGTGGAAGTTTGCTTAAGGTAGAGTGTCTGTTTGTCTTTTTTTCATTTTAGTAATAGTGTTACGGCTCTTGCAACACATTTAGGTCATATAAATCCCAAAGGTAAGAAATGTCACTAGATAGCACGATAACACATACTCGTACATAGAAAAGGGGGAAAGATATGTATCTTCATCAAGTATATTGCCTGTGATATTTGAGCTTTTTTTTTTCTTTGGTGGTTTTTTAAATTAATTTCTTAAAACTTACATGAATTATTGCTATTCAAAGGTTTGAATGGTAACTAATGAACTTAAACAAAACAACTTCAATTTTTAACAGCCAATCTCTGAATGGTCTCAGTTTTGTCTGGGAGAAAAGTTGACAATGATTCTGTCTTTAATGTTTCTGTTATCTGACACACAACTCCTCAACGTTTCTTCACAGAGTGGGTTGTCCTTTCCCGGTGCGTCTGTCCAAGCTCATGGTGTTGTTTACCAATCAGGTGAGAAGATATGGCTGTGTTGTTCTCTAAGGTATCAAAGAAGCGTGTGTGTGTCGTCCCCCCCGCACTTATTAATTGTCAGTTTTTTTGCACACACACCCCCCCTCCCCGCTCCTTATTCCATACCCGCGTTTATTATTTTCTAGCTTGCCCTTGACCAACGGTCATGTGAAACATTATATCTGGAAGCTAGATATCTGAATGAAATTTATTAATTTAAAAACAAATTTTTTTGTAACTGGCAAATTACCCACAGTATTGGTACCAGGTTGGCTATCTTAATTTTCTGTGCATTTAAAAAACGTTTTTGCATTGGTTTATATTCTGTAATAAAACTGGTTTGTTCGTAAATGGGAAAAGCTGTCACAGTAACTTACGAAAATTTCATGATCTCTTGTTCTTTTATTCAATGAAGGAGAAATAAAACAGATCTGTTCCTACTGGTACAGGGGTATGAGGTTGAATGTAATGTGGCACCCCCTTTTATTCCAACCCCCCCCTC